CCCCCCCCCCCACACACCTACTGGTGAACGGGCACCAGAAAAGGCCACAAAGGTCACGAAGGACGTCTGCCCGACGTCTGCCAACCCTGTCACGCGCACGCACCGGGGACATTTCTCCAGAATCGGACGTCTTCGGATCTGACGACTTCAGGGTTAAACTCCTGACTATCTGCCAAAAACAGACAATCTGATGAAAACAGTGTCGCACTCTTGCAAAGTCAGCGCTGACGAAGTGCCAATAAAAGTGTGGGGGGAAAAAAAAAAAAAAAAAAAGGCCGAACTGTCGGTCAGAGAGTATAGGCACACAGAGACACACACACACACACACACACAAACGGCCGCTCTCCTTGAAAACACTCGCCTCACTTCACAAAGCCGCACTGTTTTCCTGCAGTTATGACACACAGACTTGTAGCGGAGTTCTGATTGAAGATGCCAGGAAGCCACAAACCCCCTCGAAACACACACACACACACACACACATGCACACACGAAATAAAGCCCGCTGTATTCAGCTCACGCCTCCTCCTTCTCCTCCTCCTCCCGCTGGCTGTGCTTCACCCCATAACCACATATTTCATTAGCCTTTGTACTGTTTTATCTTTTCAATGTCAAAGTAATTTCTCCTCTGGAGGAAACATGATATATTTTTTTTTTTTTCACATTTACATATAATGGCCTTGTCAATTTTATTTTCTTGTTTCTCTAAAAAAAAAAAAAACAAAAAAAAAAGTACTAGCTGTAACATTGTTGTTGTCTTCTGAAATTCATAATGGAGACTTTTTTTTTTTTTCAATTATCCCGTATTGAGATTTTTAGATTTTTACATTAAAACTACTTTTCGCCGGCTAAATTGTCACTTTGTTTTGTATCAACATCACGTACCGTATTTTCCGGACTATAAGTCGCAGTGGTACAGGAGTACCAGAAAATGGTAGTAGTAGCCTAGAGTGCCCTCTAGCGGCTGTCAGTGTGAAAATTACGAACATGTAAATTTTCAGAGGTACAGGAGTAGCAGATAATGGTACACAAGCCTAGAGTGCCCTCTAGTGGCTGGCAGTGGGAAAATAACGAACATGTAAATTTTCAGAGGTACAGGAGTAGCAGATACTGGTACATAAGCCTAGAGTGCCCTCTAGTGGATGTCAGTGTGAAAATACCGAACATGTAAATTTTCAGAGGTACAGGAGTAGCAGATACCGGTACACAAGCCTAGAGTGCCCTCTAGTGGCTGTCAAAAATCAGTGGCTTGTGAAAATCAGGAACATGAAATTATATATTTTAAAATACAAGGCGCGCCTGAGCGTAAGTTCCAAACCCGGCCAAAGTGCGACTTATAGTCCGGAAAATACGGTACATATAAGAAAATCCAGTCTTTCTAGAGCTGACAAAATGGTTTGATGTTGATGCAGAGTCTTGTCTGCAGATAATCAGCTGTAATCGAAGATGTCTTTCGTACATGCGCGGGGGAATGAGCTGAAAAAGTTGCGCTGATAAAAAAAAAAAAAACACCACTAAAAGCTGCAGCACAAAAACAGGACTCAACAGGGA